GCCTCTGACGATATCAAGGAGCTTGCTAGCTGGGTTCCAAAAACTGATTCTTTATTAAAATGATCATGTAAGAGTCAGAAAGAAAAGCTGGATTTCCTGATTGTGGGAAGAATTTCTGGCACAGTAACCCCTCAAAATTATAATTTGACTTAAAATGTAAGTGTACTGGATGTAGAAGTCATTAAAAGGGAATAAATATGAAACTTCATGAGGTGTTTTTTGAGTATCACCCTCCCTTTAAGCAATAAACTATGATACAACATGCAGACCCTCAGGTGTGTGCTAAGGGGAAATGAAAAGTGGGGAATAGGTAACAGTTCACCCTAAAATGGATGTAAGGTTGCAGCAGTAGGATGTGGAGTTGAGAAAGAAGATTTCGGTGAAAAGACAGATCAATTATGGCTCTGTACAAGTGAAGCCAATGTTGGGTATATTTTAAATGTATATTAGTCTAATTACACAACAGATTTGTATGTTGCCAGGTAATTTTTTACTACCATGTAACTAGACCTATCAATTAGTGATTTTCTTTATTATTTTATTTTATTTTATTTTATTCTTTATTATTTTAATGTAATTCCCAATAGAGAAGAAAAAGTTGTGTCTGATAAAATGGTGATCATATCCACTCATATAATGAGTTAGAAAAAAAACAAATGAAGAACCTTTTAGCCCAAATGGCTGTACCTCTGCCTTTTGAGTTATTCATATTATTTATTTTTTTATTTACATTTAGTAACAGTATCTACAGGGTCTCATTACACAAATCGGACTTGTAGTGAACCTCCTGTTTTCAACCTCCCAAGTCTGGGATTATAGGCACGCGCCATGGCGCCCAGTCTCATTCCCAGTCTCAGCATGCCCCAGGGGAGGGCTGGCATGGCAGGCTAGGGATCAAACACCCTGCCCCTGCATCTGCCTAAGCAGGTGCTTTAATCCATATGTATATTTGTTGGACATCTGGTAGCATGACTCCACCACACTAGCCAAAAAGAGTTTGATTCATACTCCCAAATTTCCAGATTAAGTCATGTAATACATGAAGAGGGTGCTTTTCTGACCACAGTAAGGTCGCTGGGTTCCCTGCAAAGTCTATTTTCCTCACTGACTAGACATTATTAACAGTATTTTTTACTGGGCTTTTCCTCTTTGTGACAAGAGAAAACGATTGTGTTTGAAGATAAAGATATAAAGGAGATTAAACAATTAATGTTTCTTCCTTCACAAGAGGAAAGCAAGGCCAGAAAATAATAACAGACTTTGGGGAAATCATCTATTCATTTCCATAAGAAATTAAAACATGGAAAAATAAGTGAAAATTGAAAAAAATCTAGGGTAAGAATACTGGACAAGGCTAGATGGAAAAAGAAACATTAATGTTGCATACTAGCAAGATTGCCAATAGTCTGTATTTCTACAAGGTAACAATTTAGTCATGGATTTACTGCAACCTGTTCTTCCCAAGAACTGTACTCGAATCTACAGTTTCTCCAAAGTGGAGGTGTATGGAATATTGTCATAATATTTTCTGCCAATAATGTCAGGAAAATTTGCTTCCTTGTTTTCTAAATCCATTCTCATTTTTTCAGACATCATTTGATTATAAAAAGAAATCTGTCAATTTGGTTTGATGAACAAACAAGTAAAACAAGTTATATAATAGGCTGCACACCCTAGTCTGTCTGTCTGTCTGTCTGTCTCTCTCTCTGTCTCTCTCATCTGGTCCCTGTTGATGGTACGATAGGCCTGTTGTTGCTAAGCAACAACGGAACATATTTAGGAATATTTGACCTTTTGTGTTATCTTGCTCAGCAACTAAAAGGATATGACCTTGAGAGACTCAGTTCTCCTAATCTCTTCATCTGAAAAATGAGATCAGTAGAGTAGATAAACTTGCAAGACTTTTCTGTTGATCTTCAGTACCTTAGATTATTTTTTTCCTTTTGAATTCTGTATAGCAGACATCAGCTGCACACAAATTTGTGTGCATTTCATACTATACCATAGAGGCAGAAAAAGAGGTGATCTCTGTCCCACCCCATTATAAAGGGCCATGGACAATACTCCTGTAACAAAAGACAGATAGGTTAACAGGAAAAAAGCATGAGAAATTTATTTAATAATGGTCTTATGGGACTGAGAGCCTTCAGATTGAAAAAACAAAGTGAACTGTCCCTTTTTTATGCTTAGGTTTTAAGAAGCATAGAAAACGGTGTAGAAATGTGATTGGATAAAGAGTTTGAACTAATGGTAATAGACTGAGTGCAGAAGCCCAGAGAGGCCTGTCAGTTCAGATTTCTTGTTGACTGTCTCGGTGCAGCATTCCTTCCTCCTGGGTATGGGCAGAACACCTTCTGAACTGGTGGTCTTATGATCTGCTCTCAGACAAGGTAGGTTGGAAAATTTCTTTATGGATAGCTCTTTCACAGAAAAGCAGGAAAAGATTACAGAAATACTTTTGAGCTTCATGGTTTGCATTTTGGGGAAAGGGGTTCTAGTGTCCATGACTCACCTTGGGGAAGACAAATTCTAGTTTCTATGACTTCTCTGGGAGAGGAAAGGAACAGGAGAGGAGGCCAGGACAGGGTCAGAAAATGTGCTTCTGAAGTTTTTTCTGAGACCTTCACTTTGGAGAATTGCTTTTTTTGCTCCAACAATATACAGAGTAAAATTTGTCTCTGCCTTCAAGAAGTTTACACAGAAGGAAGACAGATTACAAAAATACATATTAAGGCTGATGTAAAATACAAATGGAACAGTATAAATAAGTGATTCAGGGTTCAAGAAGGATACTTCTCTTGGTGAAATATTTTCTAAATGAGATAGCATTTAGAGGGCCGTCAAGAAGCTTCATATAGACATCAGAAAACAGAAGACAATACTATGCACATTGTGGGCAAGAACAGCTCTTACTGGAGTATAGAGTAAGAAAGGGAAGTTCAAGCCAGGCATAGGGACCCATGCTTATAATTCCAACACAAAGGGAAGCTGACATAGAAGGACTATAAGTTGTAGTCCAATTTGAGCTACCTAGGAAGACCTTGTCTAAAATAAAATAAAATGGAAAATTCAACTGGGACCATATTATAGCAACACTGAAGACCAAACTGAGAAGTCGGAATTCAATCCATTGAACAAAGAGGATTTTGACCAAAGGAGGAATGTGTTTAGGCTATTACTTTAGAGATTAATATGTCAGTGAGAAGGATAGTCCAAAAGTAAGAAGAAACTAGAAGTAAAAGCAGTTTGGATAGTTTTATAGAAGTCTTGGCAGTAGGTAGCTAAGGGATAAGTCTGTGTTGAATCTGGAAAATAAGTATTTATTCAAAAAATACAGCTAGAAGGAAAAAACACAAGATTTGGCAGCTGTTTGGATATAGAAGGAAAATTAATGAATTAACTGAAAGGATTACAAATGACTCCTCAGTTATAGACCCCAGAAACTGGATGAAGATGGAATCAGTAGCAGGAAATAGGAAGTTTGGAGAAAGAGCAGACTTTGAGTGAAATCAATAAATTCTGTCTTAATTTTTCTGGCTTAGAGCAGTCTGTATTTGCTAGAGATGTAAACTTCTCAAAGTTAAGGATCCTGAATTATTCATCCTTTCCAGGTGCCTAATAGATGCTGTGTGAACACTAAGTGAGCAAATGAATGAGTGTATCCTTAGTCAGCTACTACTCAGACTGTGGGTCTGGAACAGTGTAGATGAGCTAGTGCTCAAGACTGCAGTGTGGATACTCTCTATGGAGGCATAGAGAAGAGAATCTTCAGTAAAGGCAAGACAGGGAAGGAGGCAGAAGAGCAAACTGAGAAGTAGGAGGAGAGTCAGGATAAGGCCATGTCCCTGTGCCAAGGAAAGCAAGTTTCAGGAACAAAGTGGTCTTTGCAACTCATTGTGACCAAAGGGGCAGAGCTTAGGAAACCCAGTTTGACCCTCTGAGACAGAATAGTTCTGTAGCCACATAGGCTGAACTCCTCCAGGCTAGAAATGTGAAAAGAGCCGAATGAAAGTGGAGAAAAGGCAAGAGCTCTGATTGGGCCAGGTGCTTAGACTAGGTAAAAACTGAGCAATAGGGAGGGAGAGACTGAGAAGAATTTTTAAAACACCATAAATGGGGGATAGATAGATAGATAGATAGATAGATAGATAGATAGATAGATGATAGATAGATAGGCAGAAAGACATAGACAGATAGAGAGGGTTATAATTCAGCCTTTAAAAAGGAGGAAATCACATCACTTGCCACAACATGGTCAAACGTGGATGACATTATATTGAGTAAGTAAGCCAGGTACAGAAAGGGAAATATCACATTATCTCACTTAGAGATAGAACCCAAAACTTTGAACTCACAGAAGCAAACAATAAAATGGCTATCAGAAGCTGGGACGATGTTGGTCAAAAAATATAAAATTTGAATTAGATAGGAGGAATAAGTTCAAAGTCTACTGTTTATCATAAAGACTGTAGTTAACAAAATGTTATACACTCAAAAGTTGCTCAGAATGGATTTTAAGAATTCTCATAATAAAAAAGATGAGATAATATATATGTTTACTAACTTGAATTGGCCATTATGCAGTGTATACATACGTCAGAAGATGATGTTATATGCAATAATTGATACAACTTTTGTCAATCAATGATGAATAAATAAATACAATAAGTGGGGGAGGACATCAGAAGAATCAGCTGTGTCAAGGCTGAGAGACACTGTCCTTACTTCCGCCATCCTCACCTCTGACATAGTTTCCAGTCCAAGGCAAAAAATCCACTTTATCTGCATGGAAGGAGTGCTGTTGATGTCTAAGAGTGCACGGGCAGTTAAGTGGAATCTCTTGGTGACATCCTCCCTATTCTCCCTTCCCTGGTCTGCCACTCTCTAGTGCAAAAATTCAGGACCAGATTCTGTTCCATCTTGTCACATTAAATTACCATGGTCACCATCACTTCTATTCAAACAACCTTACATTTTTGTTTGTTTTTTATGTGTGCTAGATGCTGCCGCTCTCAGTTCCCTGCCCCAATGAACATCTGCACTAGTCCCAAGCCTTGGAGTGATTTACCTGAAGAGTGACACCATTTATTTGGAAACTACTGTGAGTATATTATGTCTCCAGTGAAAGGCTATTTAGTTCACTTCATTTAATTAGAAAAAAAATTCATACACACAACTGTAAAAGCAGGCAAACTTTTACATGGCTTCATCTTTTGGATGTTCCTTGCCTGGTGTGTGTACCAAGCAAGATCTGAGTATACCCTGCAGGGATAAGTGGAATGCTTGACTATTTGCATGGCTTTCCAGAGCAGTGGCAGCTCCTCCAAATATGTTTGGAGCTCGTCATCTCTCTCTGTGTCACCCTTGAACCTCATAGGAGCCTGTCATTTCATGTCACTGATCAAACATGAGGCCCAGATTATCTCAACTTTGTCTCCTTGTCTGAACTATACCCCCACTTTGTTGCCTCGTTGATATTAGAGGGAACTGAGCCCTCCAATTGGGTTCTGGATTCATTCAGCCCAGAACCCGAAGCCAAAATGCCAGCTCAGCTTTGCCCTCTGGATGTATGGCTCTGTGTAGCTGGTTTAGCTTCCTCTGTGTCAGGCATTTATAAAAGGAACTATAATCATTGCAAGGAAAGCTGCAGAAATAAGTTGGAAGAGGCGGAGAGGCAATAAGCTACCTACAGGAAATAATGATGAAAGACTGATATCAAGGATTCATCAATCACTGCTGAAACTAACAGATGAAAACGTATGCTTTTTTTTCAATATAAAAGGCCAAATATTTGAATTCTTTAGAAATTGTGCATGAAAAATAACTTAATTACACATTTTTAAATGAAAATGTATTCTAGTTGTTGTAGTACAAGTTTTCCTATATGGTATGAGGCAGGCGATGGGATGGTGTTTTACAGACGTCTCTTATTATTGGAAAACGCTAAACCTGGGAGACTAACATTCCTCTTAGGCTTCAGGTAGGATTTTTGCACCCATATTTTCTGTTTCTTTAGCTCTTCTGTCATAAATCAGATCCAAAGGAAGGAAGGCAGAGTTTTCTTTTATTGTTTGTCACATTTTACCTCTAATGCTTTCAGTTTCCTGGGTAATAACTGATGATAACTAACATGGAGGTGATAGGAAGGCCTGTTTAGCCAGGTAAAGTACGTGGACCTTGAGGCTGGAGTCCAAATAGGATTGAAGGACTTGGGACTGAAGACATGAAAGAAGATAGAAAATGGAGTTTCCGCCACACTCACACAGGAACTTACTTGAATGATCTATCATTCATCCTTAAGTTCATATGTAAGAAGTCTCTTAGAAATTTTCACATCTCAACAGTTTTCTGAGGCCTAAGTGTATAGCTTAGTGGTAAGTCATTTGCTGGCATATGTGAGGCCTAGGGTTTAAAGCTCACTACTACAGAAATAAACTAGTTTTTCAAGATTTTTTTTAAATTACAGAGTGACTGTGATAGTTCAAGGAGCACAGACATCATACTAGGTTGCCGACTGGTTTCAAAGTTTCAGTGTCCATTGGGAAGGAAGAGTCCTTACTATTCCTGCCTTCCTGTGCTACAGAGAACCCAGGTCTGGACCCAGGAATTGGGGTCTGATGTGTCTGGGAAATTGTGGGGAGGCCCACAAATGACCATCTGCTTCTGCCCTAGGAAGAATTTCACTGTACAGAGCACCAGTGTATTTTAACTTCTCAGGGGCCTGGAAAACGGGCAGGCTGAATTATAGTAACCTTTGTAGTATCTGGTATGTAGAAACTCAGTTATGTCTTTATGTCTAAAGTGAAATAATAAAACTTAGAGACTTGCTATGTACAAAAATCAATAGGGTACAAAACCTATAAAAATATTAAACTGATTGCAAAGGATATCTCTTTCTGTGGGGTTAACAAAGCTATGGGCCTGGTCTGAAGGTGTAGGAGTAAGTGTAGGAGCAAGTAATTCATTTTAATGCACTGCCTGAACAACCATGCTACAACAGTAGTCCTGTATTCTTACACAGATTATTGTTATAATTAAAGAGATAATGTATATATGGTTTCCGGCACAGCAGAAATAAGAGTATCTCTTCAATCAATTAAAACTCACTATTATTTCAGGCACTATTCTAGGCACTAGGGATATGGGAGCAAGCAAAACAAACAAAAATCCCCACTCCCAAGTTTATATTTAGTTTTACTGAACTATATATGGCAAACAGACAAAATAGGTACATAGAAGCCAAAAGAAAACTGAATTTCTTTTGTCTTGTTCTTTCCTTCCAGGAAGTAATGATTGAGAGTAAAAGGATGAAAGTATAAAAGAGGCAAAGAAAAGATATGATGATGAGTGTTGTCAACCCATCCACTCAAACCAAACCCCAGATCCATTCTCCATCCTCACATGTAATCTGGGAGATCTCTCTGTATGATATTACCCAGGCTCTGTTATCTTCTGGCTTCCCTTTGAATTTGGCCAAAAGGAGGCATTAGCAAAAGATAGGAAAGGGAGAAGAAAGAGAGGTCAGGCCCTTTATTAGTTGTGTATCCTTTCCCAGCTTCAATTCTGACTGAATTTAGAAAACCCAGACTTCCCTTTGGCTCTGCAGTTTAAATGGTTTAAAACTAAGACATGCAGCTCTCCACTCTTGCCAATACTGGTGCTTCAGTATCCCTTGAAGATCTCTTCCCTTAACCTCTTCCACACCCCACTGCACAATCTTTTCATTAAACTGTCTTCATTTAAAACCATTACATGTGCCATCTACCTTTTGCAGGACCCTGACTGCTACAGTGGGGGAGTAATACACTAAAAATATTTTAAGTTAGCTCTGCCAAGAAGCTAACAATTCTTTCAAAATAAATGAAAGAAAAAAGTAATCACAGAAATGTTCTAAACTGACATGAGAACACAGGGCCACGTAGCAAAAGGATAAATTATAAGAAGACAAGATAAGCAAGAACGCTATAGGATAGCGCCAATGAAGAGACTGTAATGTGTGGGCTCAATGGGCTTCCATTAGCCAAGTGCAGCTTGCTTGACCTTGAAATTGAAGGAGCTCTAAGAATAGCTACAGCAGTGACAAACATGTCCACAGAAACGTATGGAATGACAGGGGATACCATAAGATCAAAGTGTTGAAGAAGAGATTGCTTAACCTAACATCCTTTCTGCATTGCTACAATAACAATCCAGTTGCTCATGGCACAAATCTAAATATTAAAAGAGCTGCTAAGATGTAGGAAATTCCTTATTATATAGATAACATGATGGAAATCACAGAACTAAGGCTCAGAAAGGAGCTACCATTGAGTACTTACTCTATATCTGTAAAGGAATAAAAAATATGGTATGATATTAAATTTAAAGAAAATTATTACAGTAAAAAGACAGTGCTACCAATTCCCGTCAGACGTCCCCCACTCACATAAAACATACTTATCCCATCATTCTTGCCACATTAGAAGCAGGCATATAAATTTTTTTCATGTTTTTATAAGGTGTGGTCAAAAATGTGCGTGAATGCAGCTAGGTGTCATGCAATGGGAAAGCAGGAAACATTACACTGTGTCCTTATCCACTGTGTTCACTGAATCTAGCACTGTGAGACTTCCGTCCCTTCCTTAAAGTCAAAATGCCCATGCGACACAAATGGTTTTTAACTAATTCAGGACATCAAGGCAACCATAGCACAAAGCTAAAAACACTCAGGAAAGACTTCCAGAACTGCTGCAGAAAGTGGTAAAGATGGTAAGATAAGTGTTTCAAAGTCAGGAGAGAGTATTTTGGGGGAGATTAATGGCAATGTATCTTCTATTATAATATTCTTTTAAATTTAAGCATTTATTGTATATTTTGATCATAACTTGTACATGGCTCATCTCATTTATCCTTCATGACAGCCCTAGAAGGTAGGTATTATTGTTCCCATTTTACATATGAGGCAAATAAGTTTCACAGATGCAGAGTAATCTGCCTAGCATACCCAGTGATTAGGCAGCAAGCACAGTGCTGGCAGCTTACTCTCCCTTGCCTGTGTGTTGTGTCCCAATCTCCCCTTCCCTGTGCCTAGACACTGTCCTATTTCCATGCACTATTATAAGAAGAACAGGGAGATAGTTACCAGCCTAAAAAGACTGGAGAGTCATCATTGATCTAAATTATCCTGATCCAATGACTGAGTAATTATTTATCAAAAGGAGGTTCTGACTAATTCTTTTCTATCTAATGAGGCTGATAAGTGGAAGGCATGTTAATGTGTGGGAGAGTATGGAAGAGAGAAAATTGGAAGAGGGAGATAGAAGAGAGCACTCTGCTCTCAACAGCCCTGGAGACTGATAAGAGCTCACAGACAAAATATTTATTTTTCCATATGTTACAGAAAGCATTGCCATTGCTGTATGTGTACAATATGTGCAAAGGAGTGCGAATATATACATCAAATGCTACAGATCTGGTTAATTTCCATGCATTTAACATGCTTAATACCTACCATCAGATCCATATGTTTTAATGCATATTTCTTTCCACATACAATATGGTGTAGTAAGGAAAGAGCCAACATCCTCTACAGTGTTACTCACTGCTATGTTTCAGCTCAAAACTTGGTGCCAGGGCCACTACAAGGAGAGTTAAAAACCAAAATGTTCTGCTGGCTAACTTAGCTGCCAGTCACCTTAAAATACTTTCTCAGTTCTTGAAGCAGCTTTTATTCCTTTACCAGAAATGTTTGCAGTGGGGAAATGAAAATGTATTTGTTCTCTTTAGACAACTGGGAGATGTTTAGTCAGTATGTCAGAACTGACTATTGAAAGGTGGGTGCCTGTAGTCTGGTCTTGGTCTCAGTCTTGGTCTCTGTCTCTGTCTGTCTCTGTCTGTCTCTGTCTCTCTCTCTCTCTCTCTCTCTCTCTCTCTCTCTCTCTCTCTCTCTCTCTCTCTCTCTCTCTCTCTGTTTTGTTTTGTTTTTTGAATGCAGAGCTCCACCAGTGAGGCAGGGGGAAGTGCGCAAAGATTGGTACGCCCAGATTTGCTTTGCATATATTTACGAAACATCTGCCCTTTTCTTATTTTTAAGTCCTTCCTCCTCACCAGCCCACTTTCCCCTTTTCCCTAGTTTCTTTCTTTGTTGTTGTTGGCTTGTAACTTTTTCATTGGAGCTTTCATTTTCCGGTTGAAAGGCAACTTCATCAGAGTGTATCATTTTAACAGAGTGGAAGAAAGGAGAGGGAAGAAAGGAGGGGGGAAGGAGAGAGAAAGAGGAAGGAGGGGGGAGAGAG